TTGTATTATACATGAGATTGTATTATACATGAATAAATACGGTAGGTAATTCTGAAGTGGAAACTTTTATATTTCTGTGTAACTTTGTATTTTTGTTTTAATTCCTTGACCAGGTGTTCCCTCAGCTCCTCGCAACGTGGTGTCGGTGGTGAACCAGACGTCGGTGCTCCTGGAGTGGAACCCACCTCGTGACACCGGGCACCGCGGCGACTTGTCTTATAACGTGGTTTGCCGGCGGTGCCACATCACCGAGCGGCGGGCGTGCCAACCATGTGACGACAGCGTGGTGTTCACTCCGGGGAAGGAGGCGCTGAAAGGAAACCGGGTCGAGATCAGCAAGCTGCGGGCTCACTCGTCGTACACSTTTGACATCCAGGTTTGTCCCTGACGTTGTGTTGTTCGGGGTCTGTCGGAAGCGTTAGAGCTGTGATGCTCAAACGTTAGCGCAAATAACGGCTGTGCCCAAATTCAGGGGCTGGGTTCCTTCGAAGGACTCGGCCTACCYGGTCTAGGTGGGCCATAAAACTGTACTCATTTCTCTCACTTTGTCCGCCATTACGAGCAAGGAAAAAAATCTYGGGTCGGCCYTCAATGCATTATGGGATAAGGTGGGCCAAGAAGGATGCATCGCACCCGTCCCACAAATCGGGGRAAAAGGAGGATGCATTTGTCTGMCGCATCGGAGAAGTCTTYGAATTTGGACGGCCTCCGGCGCTGCACTGTGAYGTAATCRACTGCCGAATTCAGCCTTCGGAGGTCCCAGCCCCCTGAATTTAGACACAGCCAACATCTRCAGTGCTAAATACTCCATCAGGGTCAGATTATGTCATGGTGCATGTCTGCCAGTATGTGTGTTATGTTGACAAGTGTCCAAGTACAAACAATATCTTCACAAAGAAAATAAATTTAATAAAAGCCAAAATATACAGATAATGAGTCTGTGTCACTGACCTAAAAAGATATCATCAAGAACACACATGGGTTTATGATTACAAACATTCAACTTGTATATTAAAAACAAAATGAACACCAAAATGTTTGTTCAGTAGCTATTTTCAAAGATAACAAATTAGACTACAGAGTTACTACAGTAACAAGTATAAATTTTGAATATTTATTTTCAGTTCGGTTTATTTATGTAGCAACAATTACCCATAAAAGTACAAGTTCAAATCAGATCCAGATACAGTTCAATTTACAGTCAAATAAGTTATTATAATAAAATAGTTTCTGAAATGTCAGCAGAACCAGGCAGGAAAGGGACACAGATACACACAGTGTAGTTTAATAAAAGAAAAACAAAGAAAACAAGGTGTTAAAGGAGACGTCATGTTTTTAAATTCTTCTTTTTCACATCTAAATCCTTCAGTTGGGTTCTATATAAAGTGGAACTGCAATGCTTTGGTCTGAATTAATCCTTATTGTAACTCCACAAGCCCCTCTTTCATCCCTTTTCTGAGGTGTGTTTCAGATCAACTCGTTTTGAGGCTGTCTCTTTAAATCCAAATGAGGCACTTCACACCCCGTCCCCCCTCCAGCTTCCAGACCAGTCCATTCTAGTTTGATAGATGGGTTTATACAGAGCAAGCAAGGGGATATGGGTGATTTTTTTTTCTTWCGCATCACCTCGCAATACTTTTTGTGTTCCCATAGAAATGTTTGTTTTGTATAAACTGCTTTAAAACTGACTTTAATTTTGAAATATCCAGTTACCGAAAAAAGACGTGTTGCCACCAGTTCGGGAAATTGACATTGATGTTGTGTGGCTGCACTGAGGTAAAAATATTGGCATATTACATACTTCCATGCGTGGCTGTGATATATTCATTCTGAAGCTAAATTAAAGTAGTAGGCTAWCTCCCGTATAATGGTGAGCATGTGAATTTGCATGGGAACGCAAAAGAAAAAGAAAAAACCATGTCCCCTTGCAGGKTCCGTAGGTTTACAACTATATAGCGGCGTTAAAAAAAATTGGTAAGTCCAGACCTTATTTGGCAGTTCTGTCGCAAAAAGTTTCACATATTAGTTCAGAAAATGTCATTAAAAAATGCGAGAAAACTAAATGTGCTGAAAATGACAGAATATAAAGACATCTATGCAGCACCAGGAGAAACTAAACTTTTCTTTTCTATTTAACGGCTAAAAAAAAAGAAATATTTTACACGATACGTCCCCTTTGATGTTACCAAGAACTGCACATACAAACATCCTGATAACTGAAAGCTCTGCCTCCCATTCTACTTTTATAAACCATAGAAACCACAAGTAAACCTGCAGATTCAAAACTATAGAACAATGAAATCTTTACTATAAGATGGAGAAGTTTCAAATCAAATGTATTTATATATAACACATTTAAAAACATGTCATTGGTGAAAGGGCTGCACACAATACAAATGTTAAAAAAAATAACACTTCATTTAAAAAAAACTCAATAAAACCTATTAAAAATGTGATAAATCAGAATAAAGACATTAAAATTAGCCAAAAAATGTTGGCGCTCATGCTGTTTGTGTTTTAAAATCAGATTAAAAAACTTCAGGAGTCGAAGCTGGTCCACCGGCCACTTTGCCAGGTGTGAGATATTTATTTATTTATTCATTATTTTACATTCAGCCACTTAAAAATAGCCTTGGTGCACTCAGTTCATGTTTTAAATGCAAATAGATACAATTCACTAGAATGCTAAAATATACTGAAAGTACGCAGAAGCTTTCTGATGTCCAGGCTTTTATGCAAAATCAGCAATTATATATCTTAGCTCAGAAGGTCATGGTGAACACCACGACACCAGCACGGTGGCAAACCTTCAATCTTCTGCCATCTGGTTGCTTTGCTATAGGATGTCGGAATTGAAATTGAGGCCACCTGCATTTAAATTGTGAAACTTGAATGTGTTTTTTAAATGAAATGTGCGTAAATCAAAACTCGAATCATTCAAATAGTAACGGGAGACTGAGGGGTTTGATAATGATGGGTGGCACCAATTTATTAAATTTCCTCTAGCTCTTTTTAAAATTTGATATCGCTCTCATTAACTTTTTGAGCCCCTGGAAAAACAGCCTTTCTCCTTTTCTATATCTTTTAAAGTCTGTTAACTTAGGATCTGTAGGTTGAACCTTGACATATTTGGCATCAATAGAAAGCTAAGAATCTTGGCTAAAAGCTCATGGAAACTATATTTACATCTACCACACAAATGATAGGTAGTGGAATCAGAAAGTAAACAAACTGTACAATTTAGGATTGTTGCAAATCTATAAATACATTACAACAAATCTGTAAAGGAAAAATTTTCGACATTTGTTTTTAAAGTAAGTCGAAGCAGATACCAAAATAGGTTGTAAAGTGTGTTGAAGGTTTTTTTTTTTACTTGATTCAGAGTGAATATGATCCAACTGAAATCAAATATCATTTCTCATTATTTTATACTGTATAATATGTGTATATGGTGACAAATAAATGTTTGGATAACTTTTCAAAAGAACAAACATTCAATAAGTCTTTTGAGGCAGGTAAGAAAAAATAAATAACTTTTGGATGTAAAAACTTCAGATTTCTTAATATTTATTAATGGTACCATCTTGGTCTGTCCTGTGC